ATACGGTATATTTCTTTAGTTCAACAACTATATCGATAGTTGTATTTCTTTTTGAGAGAAAAGAGACCTTTTTTACGTAAAAACGTCGTAAATGTATATTTTTTTACTCACTAGTTTTATACAGGTACGGACGAAAAGTTATTACTCTTAAAACCAGGTAAAAAATATATAGATGGCGCCCGCAGCAAGTAGGAGTCATATTGACATCAAAATCAAATTTCTTATGTCAAAAAACTTCCAGACGCCAATTTTCATCCAAATATTGACGTTACTTCATAAATTATTTGGAAAAAATCGAGATAAAAATGAAACTCCTACACCCTGTATCCCCGAAACTAAGCATTTTCGGACGTACATTTATACGAACTTTTTTACTTATTTTTATGTGCAGAATATGCTGCCGAAGTTTCCGGAATACAGTTCGGACCACCCTGTATATTGAATTTTGAAAATATTTTAAGGTGTAATTTTGATTGATTTAGTATTTTTGTTCGAAAAAAAATGACACATACTACTAGTAATGCGAGAGGATTAAACGATCATCCTGACTAAAACGGTTTAATATGAAAAAGCTCATAAAAGTAGACTGTTTGAATGAAAAATAAGTAATAAATGTGAAACGGATATGAGACACGCGCTTGGCGTTCTTATAATGCGGTGATAAAACGATCAAATAAAATAAACTATTCCTTTTCACGATCTACATATCTGCTGGTAAGTAGTCCGTCATAATAAACCGTTTTCTCATCTCGAACCTGGCGATTAAAATAGTTTTATGGCGCCCGAGCGGAACAACTGTTCTAAAAGTACCAATTCCGACATCTAGTTACTAGTTACTCCATTTTTAGAACTTACGACCGAGAAAAATCAAAGGTTTTCTTTGGTTTAAGTAAGAACAATCTTCGGATTGTCACTACTGAGTTGATCGCACTTAAGGCTAGAGATGGGCATAGATTGAACAAGTCGTTCATTTGAACGAGTATTAAAAATGAATCGTGAGATTCGATTCACTGCTTAGAATACGATTCATTCAATTGAATCGTATCCAGCATGGATCTATAACATTTAAACGATGAGCCGTAAAAAAGAGTCGTGAGGATTGAATCGGATCACAATGCGATCGTTCGTTCGAAGAGTCGTGAGAATTGATTCATTGCTTCCAATATGGTTCGTTCAATTGAATCGTGGGCAGCACGGATCCATCAGATTTGAACGATGAGCCCTAAAAATGAATCGTGAGATTCGATTCACTGCTTAGAATACGGTTCGTTTAATTTAATCGTATCCAGCATGGATCTAGAACATTTAAACGATGGCCCGTAAAAAAAGTCGTGATAATTGATTCATTGCTTCCAATATGGTTCGTTCAATTGAATCTTGGGCAGCACGGATCCATCAGATATGAACGATGAGCCGTAAAAATGAATCGTAAGATTCGATTCACTGCTTAGAATACGGTTCGTTTAATTTAATCGTATCCAGCATGGATCTATAACATTTAAACGATGAGCCGTAAAAAAGAGTCGTGATAATTGATTCGTTGCTTCCAATATGGTTCGTTCAGTTGAATCGTGGGCAGCACGGATCCATAAGATTTGAACGATGAGCCGTAAAAAAGAATCGTGAGATAGTGAGAGTCGGGCACCAATATTCAGATTTGAACGAAAGCCCTAAATAAACATCATGGGCGTAAAATGCAAACGATAAGAAAGTTATTTACAAGAAAAGACTTATTTATACTGTACTTATTAACGGGAGTATCTGTAAGGTATTTTTGTTAAAATAATATTACTGACTATAAACCATTAAATGTCGGACTAAAAGAGGAAATCGTGTTTCTATGCAACTCCAAATAAATATTGTTGGCCTCTGCTCAATATGATAAAAAAACGGCGTCAGCGATGGTTAGGATTGATTTCTTTCGAAAATTGACAACTATGAAACTATGAATCCTTCCCGGACACAAACGGTACATTGTAAGATAGGAAATTGTAGAGAGAAACAAGCCCTATAACATAGGATACAACATTTTAATGAACAGTGCTTTCCATAAAATCAATAAAATGAAAAATATACGAAATAATATACATGTACTGATTTCTTTCGAAAATCTACAACTATGAAACTATGAACCTTTCCCGGACACAAACGGTACATTAGAATTAGAATTTTGAATGAGTGGGAGGGGGGTTAATCACTTCGACCTTACAGATCCATTGTGTCCCCCTTTCTTGAATCATAACTCATCATACAGTCCCAGGGCTTTGACAAAAGCCAGTATCTGGGACGGTTTTATAGAGGGTAGTTCTCCATCTCCAATATCAGTCGTACCAAAATTCATGGCACGAATGGTTGTCGTCTCGGCGCACTCAGTGATGAGGTGTACTGGTGTTTCCCCATCTTCCCCACAGAATCTGCATTCGCCGTTTCTTCTTAGTTTCAATCTACTGAGGTGTTCATTGAGGAGACAGTGTCCTGTTAAACCCCGTGACAATCCGAAGATTGTTCTTACTTGAACCCAGGAAGATCTGTGATTTTTCTTGATCATAAGCCCTCAGAAACTTCTTCGAGTGTCTTAGACCGTTGCAAGATTTCCATTCCAGGTTGCGGATGGAATCTTCCAAGTTCTTGAGTTCCGCCTTGAGTTGGTTACCACTTGGAAAGCAGAACGGTTCTGGTCCTTTCCTAGCTAGATTATTTGCTTTTTCATTGCCTTCTATCCTTTGGTGAGCAGGCACCCAGAGTAGGAGGACTTTGTTTTCTTTGCCTAATTTATTCAGCTTCTCTACAAAAAAACGGTACATTGTGAGACAGGAAATTGTAGAGAGAAACAAGCCCTATAACATAGGATACAACATTTTAACGAACAGTGCTTTCCATAAAATTAATAAAATCAAAAATATACGAAATAATATACATGTACTGATTTCTTTCGAAAATCAACAACTATGAAACTATGAACCTTTCCCGGACACAAACGGTACATTGCGAGACAGGAAATTGTAGAGAGACACAAGCCCTATAGCATAGGATACAACATTTTAATGAACAGTGCTTTCCATAAAATCAATAAAATGGATAATATACAAAATAATATAATGAAAATCGCTGTCATTTTATATGTAAAATTATATAGGGAATGTCATCGATGTTCTTTTCCAAGCCAACTTACTCTATAGATATTTCGAAATAAACAAATTTTGGGTATGTTGAAAATACTCCCTAATTCCGTTATACTCAAAAATGTGCATTTTTAACAAATTACTGTAGCTTTTTTGCTATGGAAAATTTTGTATTTTTATGAAAACATTTCCAAAGCACCTTTTCGTCTATTTCCTATAGAAAAGGGTTTTCCCGTTAAAAGCGTCCAATTTGGTCCACACTATACCCCATTTATCAAGTCTTCCCTGCTTGGTCTAATTAAATTAAATTTGTAGTTAAAGCTATACCTTGTAGCTGTTGCATCTAGCGGTATGTACCATTATAAAAATGAATATGTCAGAACAGGTAAAAAAATAATACATAACGTTAGGTAATGCTATATCGCGATTCTTTTCTTCAGCAAGCAGCGATTTCAATGTAGCTCTTTTGTTGCTCAATTGAAGGCTTCGTCACGAGATTATTTAATTAGATAACAGACAAATCACGCTGCTCGCAGCTGACGTCACACTACAAGGAGATTTGCCCAACCATATACACCGCTAATTTTATTATACATGAAAGGAACTGTATAAAGCTATAGATATTTCTGTTTTTGTTTAGATAGAGAACTACTAAGTGTCACGATATAATATGGCTAGATATATTGTTTTACATCACTTGAAACCTTCCATTTCAAATGTTTTTCTATTTGAAAAAAAAATAATTATCATAATTTTTTAATCGCCCAATTACATGACAGCTAGTGGTCACAACCAAACCAAACCAAACCAAACAATTTAATTTTTGAAATATATATAGCCACATGTCCTCTCTTTATATCAGAGTGACTGTGGTAATAACTAAATTTGAACACCCTAGATATTAATTGCGTTTCGGATTCTGGGAGAAAAATAAAGGTGATTTTTATAAGAGACATATTTAACATTTTCTAGAAATAAAGAACAGTTTTTAAATTACAAATAAAACCTACCTAAATTGGAATTTACCCGGCATAGCCTAATATGTAGTTAAATTAACTATTGTACTTTAAATCAAATTAAAACTTGATCCAAAAAATTATACAGGGTGAGACAAAATTAATATTGAACATCGTTCACCCTTAAAAGCATGTTACTCATTTATTTTAAATGGAACACCCAGTATATTATTCCGATATTCAATGGAGAATTCATGTCTCTTCAAAATACTATTAAGGTTGCCTACCCCTCGAACAAAGATTTTCCGATTTCCGAAGATTCATTTACATGATTTGATCTGAGTAGATCTTTATTATTTGATCAAATCTAGGTGGCTGTGATACGTCTGACGTTACTTCAACATAGCTGTCTAATTAGTCCAACTTTAAGAACTAGTTATCATTTTGTGTCAGTTAAAACAAAAAAAAATTCTCAGAAATTTGCCGAAAATGCAAACTTATCCTACATTAGAGAGAATTGATATGATTCTATTAGTTGGTAATGCAGTGTGTATTCACCAATTAATAGAATACTTAAATGCTCCTGATTTTATCTAGTCTGGGTTTTGTTATGGGGATATGTTAAAGACAGTGTTTACAAAACTCGAACAACTATTGTCAACAACATGAGAGAAATTATTGTAGCTGCTTTCCGAGGTAGAACTCACATATGCCTTTTAAAATGAAAAGATCCTTTTGAAAAAAGACAATCATTTTATCCAGTTAAAAGGAAAGGAAGCATATTGAGCATTTGATTTCATCTAGCTTATTTTTGTCGCATAATTATAGGTTTATATCTAGTTTTAATTCTGTAGTAATTAAAATATGATTGTAATTGTACTTAATTTATTTTTTTTTTACAATAATTACTTCATTGTTACAGGTCCAAGAACATGTGTATAATACGACAGAATTGAAACTCTACCTTCTCCGAGATGATGTTGACGACTTATGCGGATATGTATCGAGATTTCCGACTCAAAATGTAATCAACATCGCGATTGGGTTCACCTCTAGGACGTACCCCATGAAATGGGGGCAAACATGGGCAAGAACGCCTCACTTCTAGATGCTCTACCATCTGGACAAGGTAATTGCTGATCTCTTTTAATTTTAACGTTATGAAAAAAAAGTGAACTTGTAACGCTTAATCAGGGTTCCTTGAAAAAACTGGATAAAAAGCCTTTTTTTGCCTTTTTGGAAAAGGAATCTAAAACATAAAAAGTTATTTGTTGTAAACTAAAAAACTGTTGTTTTTACTAAAACTGTTGTGCGTCCATGCTTAATTATTTTCTTCTAATTTTAGTTCTTTTAAATAATTGCTGTTTTTTTTTCAGGCACTTTGCACGTGGTCATGTTGGGTTTGGACTCCGCCGGCAAAACCACAGCTTTATACAGGCTCAAGTTTGACCAGTACCTCAATACGGTACCAACTATTGGGTTCAACTGTGAAAAAGTCAAAGGAACCCTAGGCAAAGCTAAAGGTAAAAGAGATATTCCATTTATACCTAATACCTTTGTACACCGATAGAAATGTTATCTTGAGAAATCATTAATCATAGAATATAAAAATTGTAGTATTAGACTTCTTTCTAGTATTTTTTACTAAAAGATGTTTTACTAGTTTCTTTACTACATTTTTTTCATTTTTAAAATAAAATAAGTACTTACTTTTTCTTATTAACGTTGTGGTTGTAAGTAAAACAGTACATAAACCTTTGGAGGAAACTTTTCATTACTGCATCTGTATTTAGTTAATCTCATGACAATAATTGAGATACTTCCTTACTCGGTATGTATTATACCATATGATCGAAAACGTTTTATTTCTTTTAAGACTTCTTCCACAAATTTATTTATACAAAAACTATTTTAAAATACCCAAATCTTGGGTTTATTTTAAGTTATTATTTCCATTGAGATGATTTAGACCCATTACATAAATTCTTTTTGGCCACCTGTTCTCCGGCATACGCAGAACATGTCCAAACCATTTTAAGCTGGATTTTTCGATTCGATCCAGTACTGTCTCCTCCGATGCATTCATGATACGCCTGACCTCGATGTTTGTCTCTTTTTCCATCCTAGATATACCTGCACTTCTTCTAAGGTAGTCCATTTCAACAACTTGGATTTTGCGCTTCGCGTCTGCACTCAGAGTCCACAGCTCTGAACCATAGCAAAGAACTGACTCCACCAATGTTCTTCCAAGTCTCTTTTTAGTTGTTGCAGATAAGTTTCGGTCCCACCAGAGGCTGTTAAGACATCCAATAACTTTGTTTGCTCTTCTGAATTCGGGTTTGTATTTCTTCTTTGCCCAAACCCTCGTTGTTGATAGTATCACCCAGGTATTTAAATTTGTCTACTTGTTGAATCTGGACGTTATCATTAATGAAGACTTCAAAACAAGCGTTGGAATTGACAGCTAAGTATTCTGGTCTTCTTAGACTAACCTTAAAGTCCCCATTTGTTGTATTCTTGATAAAGCCTCTTAGTCATGAACTCTAGATCGTATGAGTCCTGCTACCAATCACGACCTGATCGTCTGCAAAGCTCAGGGTAAATAGTGTGTTATCCCCAATGGGTATTCCCATTACCTTGACATTTCGTCTTCCATTCCCTAAGGGCTACTTCGACGTAAGCGTTGAAGATGGAATAAGCTGCATCCTTGTCGCAAGCCCTTTTGTGGTGCTAATTGATTAAGATAGCCTGTGTCCTATCTTAACGTACGATTCATTTTCTTTATATAGCTCTTTTATTATCTTAAGCAAAGGTCTATCTACTTCTAAGATATTCAATACTTCCCATGTCTTGCTGCGGGGAATAGAGTCGTACGCTTTCTCCAAATCAATAAATGCTAGATGGTGGCCAAAAAGAGTTTTTCAATGGGCTCCCCAGGGTAGAAGAAAGAGAGGTAGACCTAGAAAATCCTGGAACGGAACGGTTACGGAAGCAATGGAAGCTCGTAACCTAGAAGCTGATGACGCTCTAAATCGAGATGTGTGGCGTAGGGTAACGGGAATGTACCATTTTTCGTTTTTATTTTACATATCGGAATATAGGGACAGAACTCAGAAGTGACACAATTTTTATTTTTTGGCGACTTTAAGAATGTGGTAGAAATGTAGCAGCAGGGGGTCCACCGAAACCAGTAAAATTTTGAAAGTGGTCCACGAGAAAAATAAGTTTGGGAACTACTGATTTAGACCCATTACATAAATTCTTTTTTTACAATTTACAAGACAGTAAGAATTAACTCTTTAATTTACCATATAATTATATAGGCCTACGTTTTTTTTTTCATTTCTATAATAATGATGGTACTAATTGGAATTAACCCACGCTAGAAAGCTAACCCAAATCCCCATTAAATTCGAAAAGAAACAGTTTTTTGACTTGGCGGTACTCAACAAAATAACAGAAAAATATAATGATTTATCTGGTACTATATTTGGTGGTCTAGGCTCATTAATGTGTCTACCTTAAATCCTTAAATCACTTTTTACTTTCCAAATTCTTAGGCAGGTAAAAAAGTGGTATTATTAGAGTTTTTGAAATTTTAACAATTTTTGTATTGCATTTCTTGAAATTGTGTGTTGAAAATATGCCGAAGCATTTAAACAGTCGAAGCAAAGAGCTTATAGTTTCCCTGACTTTATTTTTTATTAAAACTATTTTGAACGAGTTCGTGACAATAAAGGTCCATTGTTACCCTTGACTGCAGGCAGAGAAGTAAGTTTGATTGATAAGCATATTATACCACTTTCAAAGTTAGTTTTTATTAAATTCTGTGATTATTAGTTTGTACATTAATATAGCACCCTCTTACTTGTTAGTATAATACCACTTATGGCGTTGTAAGATGTACATCAATAATATACAAATAACCCATAATAACGCTTATAATAATCTTCATAATGGACTAGTTTTTGCCAATATGTAATAAGCAAAATAAGCTATAAAATAAATAAATCAATTAATCACTAAAATATCAGTTATTAAATTAAAAATAAAACGTAAAATTCTTTAAAAAATGATATAATAAGTACCGTATGATCGAAAAAAAACGGCGTCCAGTTGGCTTGGAAATGACGATCGATGACATTTCCCATATAATTTTACATATAAAATGACAGCGATCTTCATTTCATAGCCATCGTTGACGCCGTTTTTATTCGATCATACGGTATGTTGTTTGTCAATTTTAAATTAAGATTCATCGCATATATCTATCACAATCTGGCAGCGCTGTCCCCGTCGCTTGCTTTGCAATTACCATATTAGGTTTTCTATTTGAGATGTTTCTTCTAATCTTTTTGTTAAATATGGAGGAAGTAATACAACAAAATACAAACTTTTTTTGATTGTTGTTTAAATAAATATTGTCATGAAATTTTCAAAGACATAGTAGTTCAGTCATTGGGGATTTTTGCTTGGAAAAAAGTCCGGAAGTTTTGCAACTTTGCGGGTTTATAGGTTTTGGGGTCCCTAACTGAAGTCCATAAAATGCACATTTCCAGACTTGCCGCCGGCGCCGCCATCTTGCCAAGATGGCACCCAAAATCGGTATTTTGTGAATATCTCGAAAACTATGCGTTTTTCACGAAAATTTGAGGAGAGCAAAATTAAAGAGAATAAAATTTCCTATAAAAAAGGTTTTATGAAAATTTTCGCTGAAGTCAACCGTTTAGGCACAAAATTCCTGAAGATTTTATAATTTTGCTAAAATATGATATATTATTTATAGTCGATTTCCCGAAATCAAATATCGATTAGGGTTCACTACAACTAGTTTTAGTTTAGTTTCTTCAATTTTGTCATAAAACAGTGGCGTATCATTAATTCGCCCATTAATTTATGAATAATTAATTTTAATTATTGAAAATGTGTACTTGTTTCCACACCACCCAAGAGGTAAAGTATATGGCGCGTTTATTTTAACGTGGTCTCCCCGGAGGCTTACTCCACTAGATAAATTAAAAATTTTAACTTATCTGCACAAGCCCGACGGATGTGGCTCATTGATGTCAAAGTCGATCTTGTCTGCTGTGCTGTGCTCAACAGGGTGGTCTCTCAATACGTCCAACTCTTCATTCAACTCTTCATTCCAGAGGGATATCTACAGGCAAGTCCAACTCCTCTTCATCGGATTCGTCGAGTGACACTTCAGTGACGTTGTTACAGGATTTCCCATTGCAGTATGCACAAATCATTTTAATCCTGCTTTTCTGCATCCGCAGGCTTTACCATAGTTGTTGGTTTTGCATTTACAGGATAAAAATGCCAACAGGGATTTTGGATCTGGATCTTTCAACGTTGTGACTTTCAACGTTGTAATGCCTGTTTTTGTTTTCTTCCAACCCCATTCTTCGGCATCTTTGGTACAACCAGACCAATGCTGAACCTGGTGGTAAGTTCGCAATGAATGCTGTCCAGCACGACAATTAATTATTCATAAATTAATGAGCGAATTAATGATACGCCACTGTTTCATGACAAAATTGAAGAAACTAAACACAAAAATATGTATCTGAATGGGACACGAATCCACTTTAAAACTTTTATACCAAAAAATATTAAGCTTTTACAAAACGATTACAAGAATATTAACAGAAAACAAGAAACAAAAATTGACTCCCGAACAACCAACCATCAGACAGTATTCAATGTTGCCACGACGACTGACCGAACGGAAGTGATATGAAATTTTATTCTCTTTAATTTTGCTCTCCTCAAATTTTCGCGAAAAACGCATAGTTTTCGAGATATTCACAAAATACCGATTTTGGGCGCCATCTTGGCAAAATGGCGGCGCCGGCGGCAAGTCTGGAAATGTGCATTTTATGGATTTTAGTTAGGGACCCCAAAATCTATAAACCTGCAAAGTTTCAAAACTCCCGGACTTTTTTCCAAGCAGGCCCCTTTTTTGATCCTCAATGACTGAACTATAGATTTTCAACCGAATATTTCTATCTATTTCAGGTGTAAACTTCCTGGTTTGGGACGTTGGTGGCCAGGAAAAACTGCGGCCCCTGTGGAAGTCCTACACCAGGTGCACGGATGGTATTGTCTTCGTCCTGGACTCCGTTGACGTGGAACGAATGGAGGAAGCCAAAATGGAGCTGATCAGGACGGTAAAATCGCCAGAAAACTCCCAAGTTCCCATTTTGGTACTGGCTAACAAGCAAGACTTGCCCGGAGCCAAAGAACCCAAAGACCTGGAGAAGCTGCTTGGATTGACTGGTGAGTACAATCAATAGGTGATTTTTTTAGCTCAAATCTCTTATAAAAAAAAGAGACAAAAAATCCAGTATTTCGAAGCTTCCCCAAGCACAAAATTACAAAAAAAATTCTGCGAAAATGCATCATTTTCTTTTTTCCGATTTTTATTTAGAATAACTGAAATCAGTTATACATGAAAACGCGCTTAAAGCTCTAACAATCTAAACACGCTGTAAAGGACGTTTAGAGATTGACCTCGATAAAAAATATCATCAATTGCCATTCTCAGCCGTTTTTGACGCCGTTTTTTTTTTCTCAATTATACGGTATTTATACAGGGTGGTCCGAACTGTATTTCGGAAACTTCGGCAGCATATTCTGCACATAAAAATAAGTAAAATAGTTCGTAAAAAGGTATGTCCTAAAATGCTTCGTTGCGGAGATACAGGGTGTAGAAATTTCATATTTATTTCGATTGATTGATGTCAATATGACTCCTGTTTGTAGGGGACGGCACCTACAGGTGTTTTAACTGTTTTGAAGAGTAATAACTTTTCTCGTCCGTACCTGTATAAAACTACAGAGTTAAAAAAATATACATTTCCGTAAAAATTATGATAAAACAGTTTCTGTTAAACTTTTGGCACAAAAACATTTCAAATTTATGATTTCAGTGTAATAACTATTTAATCAACTTGTTTTTAATTTATGTCAATGATGATAGGTATTGATAATTTCGATTCCTAATATCTCGAGAACCATTACTTGTAGCGATTTTTACCAAGAGACCTTTTTAGCGTAAAAAACGTCGTAAATTTATATTTTTTTACTCGCTAGTTTTATACCAGTACGGACAAAAAGTTATTACTCTTCAAACCAGTTAAAAATATGTAGGTGGCGCCCCCTACAAATAGGAGTCATATTGACATCAAAATCAAATTTCTCGTGTCAAAAAAAACTCCCAGATACCAATTTTCATCCAAATATTGACGTTACTTCAGAAATTATTTGGAAAAAATCGAAATAAAAATGAAACTTCTACACCCTGTATCTCCGAAACTAAGCATTTTAGGACATCCATTTATAAGAACGTTTTTACTTATTTTTACCTGCAGAATATGCTGACGAAGTTTCAGGAATACAGTTCGGACCACCCTGTATATTGAATTATCAAGAAAAAAGAGATTTTTGTTGCCATTGCCCAATTTCTGTTGTTGTTTTAAGTTCAAGTATTTTGACACTCTGTATATTTTATAAAAATACAAACGACAACTATAAATCACCTTGTGTGTCTGTGCAAGTGGAAAGGACAGCTGTTGAAATTGATGATGCGTTATAAACGGAAATAGGAATTTGGTGACAAGGAAAAAACTGTCACGGTTTATTAAATACAGCTTTGAACTGGAAGGATTGAAAAGATATATTTACTTTGATTTATTTAAAGTAAATATACAGAGTGATTCACGACCATGGTGCGTTAGACGTTTATGGAGAAACGGTAATACGATTTTTTTAAATTTGTTTTTTTGCCTGCTCCATCTGTCTAAATTATTTTCAGCATGACAGTGTTGCCGCTTCATACTAAAAGTAGTAGCATCTTTGTTATTTTAAATGAAACACCCGGTATATTATTACATTTTTCGAAACTACTTTTATATGTAATCATTTTTCTATTATACTAACCTGTACCAATCTCTAATAATAGTAACTATAACAATAAAATTTTTAATATTTAAATAGCCCTGCTTAAAAATCGGAAGATTTAGGGTACAAACATAGTGGGGCATCTCGATGCGATGCTCGCCGCGATGCATCCTACGCGCACGTTATAAGCACTGTTTTAAAACGGCGAGTAAGTGCGCGTAAGATGCATCGCGGCGAGCATCGCATCGAGATGCCTCACTATGTTTGTACCCTTAGGTATAGAAACATGATATATCGTTGAAAAGCTATTTTGTTATAGTCTTTTGATTTTTTAAATAATATTAATAGGGTTGAATTTAAAATAACAAAGATTTGAGTAATCTTATAACAAACGGAAATAAATATTTTGGCTCTCCCTGTATAAAATCTAATGAGTTGATTTAGATAAATCGAATATATACCTAGAAACTTTCGTTAACTTATAACCCAAATTTAACCTTTTAAAATGTTTAATTCATGATTTTACCAATGCTTATTCCAGATCATGTTTTTGTCAACTTTTCATAATGTTTTATTTATTATCTTAAAAAATGTTAGAGATAGGTATAGGTTAGTATAATAGAACAATTATGGGATATGGAAGTAGTTTCCAAAAAAATAATAATATACTGGATGTTCCATTTAAAATAAGGAAGATGCCACTTTTCAAATGATGCGGCAACATTGTAACGCTGAAAATATTTTAGATAGATGGCGCAGTAGCCTTATGTGAAAATCCAAATTTAAAAAAAAATCTGTCACAACGTCTACGTGCCATTTCCGCGAATCACCCTATACAGGGTGGTATAGTACAGAACTGTATTCCGGAAATTTCGGCAGCATATTCTGCAGATTAAAATAAGTAGAAAAGTTCGTATAAATGTGTGTCCCAAAATGCTTACTTTCCTAGATACAGGGTGTAGAAATTTTATTTTTATTTCGATTTTTTCCAAATAATTTATGAAGTAACGTCAATATTTGGATGAAAATTGGTGCCTGGGAGTTTTTTGACATGAGAATTTTTATTTTGCTGTCAATATGACTCTTATTTATAGAGGGCGCCACCTACATGTGTTTTAACTGTTTTGAAGAGTAATAACTTTTCGTCCGTACTTGTATATCACTACCGAATGAAAAAATATACAATTTCGTATTTTTTACGTAAAAAATGTATCTTGGTAAAAATCGCTACGAACAACCGTTCTCAAGATTTTTAGAATGGAAATGGTCAATACATGTCATTATTGACAAAAAAATGAACATCTTGAGTAGATAGTTTTGACTGAAATGATAAATTTTGGGAACTTTTTATTTTTTCAATTAATCATAAATTTTTCTTCGGAAAAATGATGATAAAACAGTTTCTGTTGAATTTTTGATAAAAACATTTCAAATTTATGATTTTTGTCTAATAACTACTTAGTCAATAATGTGAACATGTTTAAAGTATGTCAATGATGACAGGTATTGATAAATCCGATTCCAAAAATCTCGAGAACATGTAGCGATTTTTACTAAGAGACTTTTTTTACGTAAAAAATCACGAAAATGTATATTTTTTTATTCGGTAGTTTTATACAGGTACGGACGAAAAATTATTACTTTTGAAACCTGTTAAAAATATGTAGGTGGCGCCCTCTACCACTAGGAGTCATCAAAATCAAATTTCTCATGTCAAACAACTTTTATACACCAATTTTCAGTCAAATATTGACGTTGTTTCAGAAATTATCTGGAAAAAATCGAAATAAAAATGAAATTTCCACACCCTGTATCCCCGAAATTAAGTATTTTATGACATACATTATTCAGAACGTTTTTACTAATTTTTATTTGCAGAATATCCTGCCGAAGTTTCCGGAATACAATTTGGACCACCCTGTATATTCGCTAATCGCAGCAGCCCGATACAATTAGCTATTTCTCTTCTAACCAAACTCTTCTGTTGCAGAACTGGGCAACGGCGGCGCCCCCGGCGGCCACCTGTGGCACGTCCAGCCGGCCTGCGCCATCACTGGCGACGGCCTGCACGAAGGCCTCGAAGTCCTCTACGAGATGATCCTGAAAAGGCGGAAGCTGGCGAAAGAGCGCAAGAAAAAGGGCAGATAGGGCAGCCAGGGCGGTGCCGGCTGCACCAAGGCGATGTTCTGCTGAGCGGGGAAGAAGGACGGAACTACCGAGGGTTCGAATTGTGATTTTTTAGTTTTAAGTAGTAGCCGAATTGTTGGATTGGCGGATAATCGGATGTCGTTTTGAATCAAAGAAAATGATTGAAAATTAATCAAAATTGTCTTAAGCTTCTTTCAGAACCTCAAAGCTTCTTCTGATACATATATATTCGGTTTAATATACCTTAAAGCTTTGGTTTTTGAGATATTACATTTTTGAGATATTAACATATTTAAATATGCATGGTATAATAAAAAAAAGTTTGTCAGCACCTTGTACAGTGTGGTCGAAATTGGTCTGTTTTAACAGAGAAAACCTATTTCCTGACTAGATAGAGCAAAACCGACATAGATGTCATGGGCTCGATTTCTGAGGCACGTCTAATGGCGTAAACCGCCTGTTGATATTTTCACTGCTGACTGAGATACAGGGTCTTTTTTATTTTTTTACTATTTGGAAAATTGCCCATAACTTTTGTATTTCGCGGAATAATAAAATTCTGTAAAAACGTTCTTAAGGCACTTTTTTAATCACAATCCAGTGGCATGGTCAGTTTTTTTTCCATACTTGCTTTTTTTGTCAGAAATAATAAAAAATATAATTTTTTAAATGTAAATCATAGTTGGCTATAAACTTAAAAAATGCTGGCGTTTAACCCTTTCCAACGATATAAAGTTATGTGTATTTATTTCTAAAAATGAGACAAATATTATGTTTTTAATCTTTGTGTCGAAGCGGGCCTTGATTTTGTGTTGACCTATTATAGTTGCCTAATTATTATTTTTTATCACAATTTAATATTGTATATTATTATTTATCTGCATAATTAAAGACTTTTGAAAAGGTAAATCATCATTCTATATTAGTATTACCATTTATAGTTAAAACGCCAGGATTACAACTGCACTATTAAATGGAGGATTTAGAGAGAATTGGATTGGAACAAAGAGCCTCATATCTTGGCCCTCATATCTAGGCCTGCTATGTCCTGTAATTTAACTCCTTTCAACTTTTTTATGGGAGAAATTAAAAGACCTTATCTATAAGGGAACAATTGGGACGAGAGAAGAATTGCAGAAGATTACTAGGCAAGCTTTTGGACTTATTACACGAGTTCGCCTAATAAATCGTTGTAACTCTGTGCGCAAAAGATGTTCATTTTTTTTGGGAAACTATATTCGCCACACAAAAAATACTTCTTTTTTAGTCTTATTCTTTGATTATTGTATCGATTTCAATTGTAATTACTAATACTAATATAGAATGTTAATTTACCTTTCCAAAAGTCTTTAATTATGCAGATAAATAATAATATTGAATATTAAATTGTGATAAAAAATAATTAGGCACATAGGTCAACACAAAATCAAGGCCCTCTTCGATATAAAGATAAAAAACCTAATATTTCTCTCATTCTTAGAAATAGATACCCCTAACTTTATATCGTTGAAAAGGGTTAAACGCTAGCATTTTTTAAGTTCATAGCCAACTATGATTTCCATTTAAAAAATTATATTTTTCATTATTTGTGACAAAAAGAACAAGCATAGAAAAAAACTGACTAAGCCACTGGATTGTGTTTAAAAAAGTGCCTTAAGAACGTTTTTATTATTCCGCGAAATAGAAAAGTTTTGAACAATTTTCAAAATGGTAAAAAGTTCAAAAATACCCCGTATCTCTGTTGGCAGTGAAAATATCGACAGGCGGTTTACGTCATTAAACGTATCTCAGAAATCGAGCCCATGACATCTATGTCGGTTTTGGTCAATCTAGTCAGGAAATAGGTTTTCTCTGTTAAAACAGACCAATTTCGATCACCGGGTATTAAAAATTGTTGGTCTATTTTAAATATTTATTTTACATAAAAACTTTGTTATTTCAAATGCAACACTATGTATTTTTTTAAATAAGTCGAAGCAGATTTAAATTCCCTTTCAAACTATATTAGGGTTTCCTATGCCTATCTGGCTCAGAATAAAAAGCGATTTTTCAATAAAATTTTTGATACCCCTGTATACATTTAAAGAAGCAATACAATTTTTTAGCAATGTTTGTTTCTCTGGCTTCAAAGTCAGCACAAGAATTAACTCTGAAAGTAATGTACAGGGTGGGTCAAATTCGACGCTTTTAAATGGAAACACCCTTTTCTATAGGAGATAGACGAAAACTAATATCGGTGTCTGGAGCTCAATTTTCATCAAAAACATGATCGTGAAAACCGCACATCAATATCTGTTACCGTTTCGGAGTTACGGGGTGTTTTTAAAAAAAGTGCATTTTTAACAAATCGCTGTAACTTTTTTGCTATGGAAAATTTTGTATTTCTATGAAAACATTTCCAAAGGACCTTTTTACGTAGAATTTAATGGTTTAAGTATAATTTTTTTAAAATGAATAATTTAAGAGTTATCAACAGAAAATTTGATTTTTTATTTGGGACACCCTCTATATTTTTAATTAACTGGAAAGAATTTAAAATTACCTTTCCAAAAATATAACACGCTTGATATTTTGCTCGATTCCTCTTCGAGATATAGAGTATATAAAAATTCGCCCGCTTTAAATAAGTAGGCTTTGAACGGCACAGGCTGTAATGCAAAAAAATTCTAGCTGTTATCATCAATTAAAACGAAAATAATATTTGCTATGAGAGATGCAGAATTTTATAACAATTTAAAATATATTTAACCAACATCAACACATTTAAACTATATGTAATAACAATAAAAATAAATAGTAAACCAAGACATGAGATTTTGCTACATACAGATGTTCGACATATCGACCATCTTCTGTTATGGACAGACGGGCCAGTTTTTGAACATTTCTCGCGGAATTCATCTCAGTAGAAGTATTTCTAATTCTTGTCTAGATTATACGGAAGAATAAGGAACTTATTACTTTATTCTTCCGCAAATATATCCATAGGATTAGATCCATGGGCACTAAGTCAGGAGGCCTCGACGGCCAACGGCTGGGATCTTGGTTAGCTATTCAATTATTCTTGAAATTGGCTGCAAAAATTTGCTAATAACTTCAGCGTTCAAAGGCGGTGCATCGTCTTGCTGGAAAAATATGTTTTCGAGTTCCATTAAGGGCATATCACCAATAAGGGGTCCAAAGCCTACTAGTTAAAAGTGGCGAACTTTTAAAAATTCTGTATTTCGAAGGGGATTATAACCAACTATCAAGTGTGCTATATTTTTGAAAAGGTAATTTTAAATTCTTTTCAGTTAATTAAAAATATATAAGGTGTCCCAAATAAAAATCAATTTTTCTGTTGATAACTCTTGAATTATTAATTTAAAAAAATATATACTTAAACCATTAAATTCTACATAAAAAGGTGCTTTGAAAATGTTTTTATAGAAATCCAAAATTTTCCATAGCAAAAAAGTTACAGCGATTTGTTAAAAATGCACATTTTTGAAAAACACCCCGTAACTCCGAAACGGTAACAGATATTGATGTGCGGTTTTCACCATCATGTTTTTGATGAAAATTGAGCTCCAGACACGGATATTAGTTTTCGTCTATCTCCTATAGAAAAGGGTATTTCCATATAAAAGCGTCGAATTTGACCCACCCTGTACAGGGTGTTGACAAACTTTTTTATTATAGCATGCATATTTAAATATCTCAAAAACCAAAGCATTTAAACATATTAAACCCTTTTAATAAATGTCCTAAGAATCCAAAAATGAAATAAAATACCGGGTGTTCCGTAAGAAAAAATATAAACTTTGGTATGGATCTTAGTTCTGACACACCCTGTATATTTGAAAATAATTTTCAATTATGCACATTGCCTCTCTACATATACCCACAAAAAATTTTGTTTTTACATCTTTCCGTTTTTGTATAATCAACCGAGGCGAATGAAGTGCGCCACCAAACACTAACAAACACGAGAGGCGCTTTATTTACTTTCATTTTCTTAACATGACAGATGAAGTTCTAGAGGAGGATGGTTTGTGATTTTTAACTATAAAGTATAATTGAAGCCACTAATTACCAGGTTCTGAATGAGGTTAAAGTAGTTTCTTGAAAAGTGGTTATCTTGTTCCGATTGTCTGTCATCTAAAGAAACGATTATTAAAAAAATGTGTATAATTTTTGTCTGACTTTGTTGACGGTTTATTTTGAAGAATATAATAACAAAACGGAAAACACGAATGTAAAAAATGATGGTACAAAATATATAGTGTTATATGGTCAATTTTTCACCATTTTTTAGACTGTTTTTTGTATCATAGAGAACATGTAGACGTTCTAGTTGAACCACCTCACTTTAAAGAGAAAAAACTACGTTTTTGTTATACAGGATGTGTCTTAAATAAGTACAAATATTTTCATAACAATTAAACATATTTTCTCTTCTCAATATTTCAAATAAGTCCAAAATAACCGAGTTATTTTAGTTTGAAAATTTAAAAAAAATGCCTAAATTTTGAGAAACCATACATATTATCAAAAACTTATGTTTTTTAACTAAAAACTAAAAAGAATCCAAAATCTGTATAGGGTTCCCTTAAATAATTACAAGTATTTTAACTGTAAATTTTGTAAAAAAAAATATTAATGCCGCAGTTTCAGCTTCTGACAATTCTTGACAGCGTTGTATCGAAGCTTTGCAATGGCGCCACCACCTACGTTACTCACATTCTGTATATTTCTTTATACAGGGTCGTTCACCACATACGACACGGAGTATTGTAGCTAAACGATGAGATTTTTACAAATTGTAAGTTTGGGGTTCGTTGAAGGACTATTAAAGCTACAATTTAAAAATATTTTTACAAGATACAGAGTGTCCCAAATAAATAAAAAATATCAAAGTTCTATTTTTTTAAATGGAACACCCTGTATATTATTGCATTTTTAGTTTCTACGATTAAAATAAAGGTAAATTTGATTAAGGTTTATTACACTTAAACCTTACCGTTTTTGAAATATTTTCAATTTTGCGAAATTGCAGTATAAATTTTAAGGCTTCATTTCTCCGAGGATATCAAAGATTTTAATACTAAATATTTACTGAAGTTTATTTATTGATCAGTTATTGTGTTGCAATAATAAAAATTATACTACCTTATACAGAGTGTCTAAAAATTTATTTTAAATAATTACTAGCTTTAAACAGCAATAACTATATTTAATTTTTAAATAGAACACCCTGTATATTTTATGAGAATCAGATGCACAATTTAATTGTCTATCAAGTTGTATTATACCACTTCTTACCTATTCCTTCAAGTTTTCGTA